ATTTGGGGTTTGGGGTGTAGAGGAACTTGCAGGAAGAGCTGAGGGTGACAGAGTAAGGTCAGAAGTATTTATGTGATGCCCGGGTAGGAAGAGGGCCTGATCTATGGACACCACTGCCAATGGTGCAGCCAATGTTTCTTTTTCAATAGTTATCACCGTGATGCTCAAGACTCAAGGTCAGAGAAGGTTCCTGCTGGAGCATGAGCCACCATTTGAGTTTAGGTCTCTGACGTGTCATGGTCACACCCCTTCAGTTTTCCCTTCCTTCATGGACCTATGGACTCATGGTCCTGAGGTCAGCACAACCACTGGTGGTAGGAGGTAAAGAAACTGAGAGAGAAAAGGACAGTTGTTCCCACCCCGGCTGTTGTGGGGAAACAGGAGAATAAGGTGGTGCAGCAGTCACGTGACAGCACACCTGCGCCCTAATTCCATTTGACCCTCAGCCACCATTTAAATCTTCACCCCTGGATTTAACCTTGGCTTCAGCTCATTGTGTGCACCTTCCTGTCAGCTCATGCTGCCAGAGTACCCCAGACTGGCGAGATGAAACCACCCAATTCACTCCTCACAGCTCTGAAGGCAGCAAGTCCCACGTCAGGGCACTGGTAGATTCTGTGTGTGAGGATGACTCTCCCCCTGGCTAGAGAAGGTGGCAACCTCACCTGAGTCCTCACATGGCTGAGAGAGCTTTGGGGTCTCTTGTTCATCCTATAAAGGCACTGATCCGATCATGACAGCCCCACCTTGCTGACCTCATCTGACTGTTTCTAAAGACCATCACATTGGGGGTCAGTACTTCAACACACGGACTGTGGGGGACAAAAACATCCTGTGCACAATAAACAACACCAACAATGAGGACATGAAGGAAAATCAGTCTCCAACGTAGCACTGATGTTAATGTCCAGTGCCTGATAAGGTGTCCCAGAGGCTGTCAGACCACAAGAGAAGTGAAGGGACAGAGGTGACAGGGACATAGGCTGTGCAGGGCAGGATCAGCTGGGCATGCAGGGTGAGGACAGTGGATGGTAACTGATCCTGAACAATTACAGGCCAGTGCTCCGGTCCCTGTTCCGCCGGAAGCCGACCATGAGTGTGGAGCAGGGCCTGCGGATAGGCGTGCACGAATGGGACCACAACAGCAACTATGAGCGCATGATCTTCTACGAGCTGGCTGAAAAGTGAGTCAGGGACCCTGGGCCCGGGCCTGAGTTGCAGGAGCACATAAGCCATGCAGCTGTGTCCAATGGGGCTTGTCACCCACACGGTGTAAGCAGGGTGTGCACTGGCACAGACCCCACCCCTGGAACCTTGGTCCTTAGGAGGCTGCTCTTTCTACCTGCAAGGGAGGGAAGTGCCAGGAGCTTTGGCCTCAATATTCATGGAGTTTCTTCTAGCAGTGGGGGCTGTGTCAAGGGGACCCGTGCCATTTGTCCATGAAAGGAACAAGGCTATAACCCGAGGTCCCAGAAGAGAGTGGGAGAGGGGACAGCAGGCATGGTCAGGGGAAGACAGCCTCTCAGGCACCCCGAGGACAGGTCTTTACCATTACTACTTTAGCTTCATCTAATCTGTTCTTTCAAATAAGCAAACAAACAAACAGAGAAACAGAAAAACAGACCACAGAGGAAAGTAACCCAATCTTCCCCACTTGGCTCCCACTTTCTCCTGACTTCTCCCGGGCCCTGTCTCCCAGAGCTTCATTCCAGGACTCAGAGTCCCACGTCAGGAGCCCTGGATGGGGGTGAGGACTCCTGGTGTTCTCTGCCTTAATTCACTCCTGACCGGCTTCTGGTGCTCCGCTGCTGTTTGTGGCTCTGTGCAAGACCAGGGCAGGCCTGGAAAGGGTCCCCTGAGGCCTCTTCGGGTCACCTAGGCCCAACTTGATTTCCTGCGAGTGATGAAAGATGTGCCCAGAACTGTGGCTCTGCCCTGGGGTCAGCCCCCTCCTTTGACTAGACCAGTCCACCCAGAGCACTGCTCCCCACCACTGCTACTGGTCCAGTCCGGTGTCACTAGGGCCTGGGACCTGGTCTCCCTTCTGGTTCAACCTGTATCTCCCCACACCTCAGGTTCAAGGAGTTTGAGGTTGCTGAAAAGTTGTTACATCCCAAGTTTCAGTTGATCAGGGGACTCCCGGGCTGTCCGACTCCAGCCCCACCCAGGCCCGAACCTCCAAGGCCCCCAATGCCTGCGGTTGTGCAACAACCAGGTAGGGCTTCCCATGTTCCACGGGGACCACAGGAGAGGCCAAAGGGGGCAGAGGGAAGCTGATGTCCCACATCTGTTGGGTTTTCAATCAGGATGAGGCATTTGGTTTTGAAAGCAGAAAATCCCCCAGTGCCTGGGCTTCCACAGCCCTTGGACTTGAGCAGGATGTTGATTGGCTGTGCAGTATCTCAGCCCACCATCTGCCCAGGACTTGGGGGCCGGGTGGGGACAGTGTATGGCATTTCGGTAGCGCCACATGTCCTCCCATGTGACTGTCTCCACATTCCACCTCAGGCAGAGTCTCCTCTCACAGATTCTGAGGTCAGCTTGTCCTGGACCACTCTGGATGACATTAGGTCTCCTAGATCCTGCTCTCCCCATCGGGATTGGGGTCTACCTGGAGCAACCATCCATACCCACTCCCTTCCTCCATTCTAGTGTGCGTCCCCAGGCAGACAGACTCCAAGACGCAGGCTGCCTGCCCCCCAACACCCAAATGCCAGCAGCCACCTGAGACCAAGGCACCTGATGAGATCCCTCCTGAAGCTGTGAGGGAATACATAGACATTATGGACTGGCTGGAAGAGCATCACCTCCTGTCCATGCCGGTGTCTAAAGAAAACCAGGAAGAAGAGCAGCAGCAGGAAGAGGAGGAGATAGTCCCAGATCTGGATATCTCCAGTTACTGTGATGAGCTTTGCTCCCAAGACGACTTTCTCACCAAGGTGTGCAGGGGGCTGGAGGCCTGGTGTTCTTAAAATTTCAGCAACAGGATCCAAGCCTTTGGAATTTAGCCTGATTCCTTAGCAACTGAAATCCCTCTCTCTCTCTCCTCTCTCTCCCCTTTCTCTCGGTGTGGATGTGAGTGTGTTTGCATCTCACCATGAATGTGTGTCTGGGTAAGTGAGTGTAGCTGGTGGTCATGATGATTAACAGTCCCATGGTGTGGACCAGAATGGGCAGGGTATTGTTCTGTTTCTCCTGGGCTTCCCCTTGGCTTAGAGCTGCTCCTTACCAAGGAGCCTCATGATTTCTTCTTCTGACCCAGGTGGAGGCCATTATCAACCCCCAATTCCTGGATGCAGTAGAATCTCCAGATGCAGACTTGGATATCATCTTGGCTACAAGACAGGTGCTAGAAGAGGAACATGAACTTACTGTTGACCAGGTAGGCCAGGGGCATGAGGGACACCAGAAAGACAAGGGCAGGGCCACCAGCCTGACCAGACAAGGGGAGGGATCAGTAGGCAGAGGAGGGAGAGAGGGGCACCAAGTAGGAGAGGAGAGGATGAGGGGAGAGGGAGACAAGTGAGGGGAGGACACCAGGTAGATATGAAGAAGGAGGGGCATCAGGTAGACAGGGTGGGGTGGGGACACCAGACAGATCATCAGGATCAGGAGGGGACCCTGCACACCAGGTCCACGTGACTTTGTCCAGCCCTAACCCAGCCAGAAATTGCTGCCTTCTAGAGAGGGGCTGCACTCAGATGGGTGACACACATGGGGACAAGGAGGGAGGAGATTCCAGAGTGAGGAGCGCCGAGGGTGCAGTGAAGGAGGCCAGCAGGGTGGTCCCAGGGACTCAGCCTCAGTGTCTGAAACTAAAACGGGGCAATGTCCAGAGCCTGCCTGCTGTCCAAATACCCTCACACCTACCCCGTGATCCCTCCTCATGCCTCATATAGACCCAAGAAATGCCCTCTTCCTCCTGCAGCTGGTGGAGAAGCGCCTTCTGGGCTCCAAGGAAAAGGGAGGTGTGTGCAGGCCCCAGAGCCGAGGTGCACCCCAATCTGCTGCCCACCAAGGTGCAGAGCGAGATGATCCTGACCGCAAACGAAGGCGCAACAAGGAGACCTGCTCCCCTCCAAACGCTTCCCAGGTCCTTAAGAGACACAGGGCCACCGATGAAGAGCAGCCGGGGCCTGAGGTCCCTGCTGTCCTGCACAGGAGACACAGCCGTGCCCCGCTGGGAGCCTCTGGTCCCAGTGCTCTTCCCCAGGACCTGGCACCCAGAGGTACCGTGGCCCTCAGAGCAGCCTCTCTTATTGAGGGACCAGCATCCTGCCCGGATGAGGATGATGAGGACTTCTCCAGCCTTTCCTTCCTCCTGGCTTCCCCTCGCCAGCTGCTGCCCTGGCAATGGCCCCAGACCCCAGACCCTGACACGGGCCTCCTCTGCCCTGGGGACCCAGCACCCCAGCCCTCAACTCCCCAGGGAGGCAGCCACAGTCCTGACCTACCTCCATCTGCCAGGTCCAAGAAGCAAGTCCTCACAGGAGGCTCAGCTCCTGTGGGAAAGGCATTCTGCCCAGGACCTTCCTGCGAGGTCTCTGCAGGGCAAGATTTGGCTCAGGGGCAGATTCCACCCCAATGGCCTAAGAAGAGGAGGGGTAACAAAGGAGGCTCCCAGAGAAGGAGGAAGAGGCACTGAAATGTAGGGCTGGTGGGCAGACTCTGGGGTGCCCGTCCTTCAGGTGGGCTTTGGCAAGATTTCACCCTGGCTGCATTTTGCACCCCATGAGCCAGAGCCCCCTCCTCCCTGAGTTCTGATCCAGCTGCTCTGGGGCAGGAAGAGGTGATGGGAGGGGGTGGAGATGGGGCTATTCTTTGGAAATGTTTCAAAATGTAAAATAAAAATGGCTGGAAAATGCTCTCAGGTTTTCTGGCTCCTGTGCTGGCATTTGTCCCCTCTGAGAAGAGAAGATAGCAAGCAGGGAAGGACCAAAGGAACACATTTCCTGGCCAAGGTCTTCCCCACACAAAGGAGCTGTTCTATCCACTGCTCCTGGGAGCAGACAGGCTGAACACTCCCTGGGGGCCCCTTCACCACCCCACTCACAAGGCCCCATTTTGTTCTAGGCTTCTGTGCCTATTCCGTCTTTACTGACATCCCTTAAAAGTCCTCTTCAGCCCTTTGCACCATTAATCAGTGCACTAGTGTGGAGCCGGAAGCTGGCAGTTTTCTGCTTCCGGAAGAGGGCTAAGTGGCAAGGCTAGACTAATTCTCTTCTCTGCCAAGGCCTTTCTAAGTGGGTGATTGGACCAGAGGACAAAGCTTTGCTTTTACAGGAAGAAGTCACCGCATCTCGGAGAAACAGAGACTAACAACACCAGCAAGATGCCCCCTTACCACCCTAATTAACATAATGTCTTGTTTTCTGACAGTCACAGGTGGGATTCCCCCTGGAGCTGAACTTTTATTCTAACTCAGTTACAGGAGGTCCTCTAGATCTCTGTGCACTGAGCCGGACTGAGGAGAGTCCCCTGGTTTGTGGGACCTTGGCCAGGCTGTCCTATCAAGGTGACCTGTTTGTTATACTCAATCACAAGAGATTATAGAGAATCACCACACTCTGAGCCAAATTTGAGTCCTTTTATTGCCAGTGGTCAGAGCAGCTCACACTTGAAAACTCTTCTCACAATGAAAAGCAGCTTGTGGGTTTCTTTTAAGTGGCTCTTCTAGTTGGGGAGGACTCCGGGAGAGAGAAAGAGAGAGAGAGTGCAAGCAGAATTTTACACAAGCAGAACTTGCTAAGTGAGTGGGAATCAAGAAGTTTCACACAGTTTCGTTGAAACCAAATATCCCACAGGTGCAGAATCTTCTGTTCACAAGGTCATGAGGATAACATCCAGCTGCAGACCGCTCTACCAAATGGGAAGGTCATAAAGATAACTGCAGTTGCAGATTGTTGTACCAAAGGGCATGTGGCAGTCTGTCATGCGTCAGCGGAGGGGACTCCCAAGTGTGAGGGGGGGAGCAACCACCGGGAGTCACTCGACTTTACATAAAGTGTGTGTGTGTGGCGCGGGGGGGGGGGG